CAAGCATGAAGAGGCTAAAAACAAAATACAGAAAGCCTTGCTTTCCAGCCTTGCTTGATTCCATTATTGACTTGACCTGCCATAACTGATCACCCATCCTCATTCAGCTTAATCATTAAAATGTAACATGAGCCAAGAAGTTTCAGGCCAGCACCATACATCTTCTTCTTAGTCCGACATCTACATACATGTGTATATGCTGCATGTTTATTTTCATGTATGACATTCACACTTTATTTTCATTGCTGAATGTTCAATATATTATACCCCCTCCTCTTAGCTAGAGTCTGTTTCTTAAAGACCAGCTACTTGAAGTCTCTGTGTATCACCCACACTATCACAACACAAATTAGACAAAATAGATGCTTAATGGTGTAATTCGCTTTACAATGGCACTATTATTACAGCATTACTCTATTTTCATTATTACTGCATATTAGAATCAGCTTCCAACATGTTTGAGTGAAGAAATAAAACCACCTAATCACAGTGCCAATTAATTCTGTAAAAGTCATGCAGTATATCAAAACTAAAAACCTTTTCGGAGCATCCCAGAAAGACAGGATTCCACTCTTGAGTCATTTCTTCCAGCTTGCTCTGCCCCTACCTCGCTGTACTTTGACCTATCCTAGTCCAGTTACAAGTAAAGTCAATAAAAGACCCGTGGCAAGTTTAATTGATCTTCTAAGAAAGGATATTATAATCCATCAGCACTCCCTATCCTTGCGCTAACATGATTTTCCCAGGTTTACCCAAAACTATTGTGGTTCCAATAACCACTCTTTCTCACGCTGCTCTCTCATCAGCTCAAATACTGTAACAGCAGAGTAATTTTGAGCAGGTTGTGAGTCTCTGAGAGTATTGCTTGCAAAGTGCATGTAAATTATTAGATTACATTACAAGTGAACGACTCAGCAGTGGGTCACCACAGTGGAGCATTAATGTAGAACAAGTTGAATGGAGCCCTTGCAGACAGCCTTCTCCAATGGGATTTTTTGGCAGGGAGGAGAAAGTGAGTGAAGGAGAAGGGAGGGCCAGGAATGATAAGATGCTAGAACTGAGAGCACAGAGCATGGTGGGAAGGAGGGGTCTACCCCATCCTCGAACTGGGAGAATTAGTCGTGGGGGACCACAGGAATGATGGGGTTGCAGGGAGGGAGGAATGAGCAGTCACTTCTGGTTCAGCTCAAGGCATGAGAGGTAACATCAGGAAAGCCCAACAAGTGGTGAATGGGTTGAACTTAAGTGATCCGTCCTCCCTTGGCAGGACCCAGCCCAGGGTAACTGAACTGCGAGATGGGGGCTGGATCCAGTCCCAGAAATGGACCTGGAGGTAAGAGGAAAAGCGTCAGAACCTCCACTGATGCCCTGAGACTCTTGCTTATTTCACAGAGCAGCCAATCAGCATCAAGGAGGGATGCTCCAAGCAATGGTGACTGGACCCAATAAAGAGAAGGGGATGGTGGTGAGAGGGCTTCACCACCCCTCACACCTGCTCCATCATTATTGCCACCATCCCAGGAGCTACTCTTAATATTTTCCAGGCTTCTTGCCAAGCCCTGAGTATTCATTTTTATCACACCTGGTCCTCCCAAGGTACATCTGCAGCATCCCCAATTTTCAGGTGAGGAAACAGACTGAGAGGTCAAACAGCACACCCAGCCTACGACCCAGGACTCTCTCACTCCAAGGAAGCTTCTAACAGCCAGATATATGTACTACTCTCCCAACATGGCCAGCCTCAGTCTGAGTTATTCAAGACTGGAGCAGGCCTGAGCGTGCCATGGAGGGGACTGGTGGATCCAGGAGAGTGGGAGGTGGGAAAAACAAGGGTCCAAAGCCCAAACCCAGTTGGAAGTACAAGCAAGTTAGAGATAAGTTTGTAGGGTTCAGAGGGCTGAGCTGGTCTCTTGAGAAACAAAGAACTCTGCACAGCAACATGGGAAAGATTGCTTGCACAGTTAATGAGCACCGTCTTTAATCAAAAACTGAGGATTAAAACATTTGTCCATGATCCCTGTCTTGGGGAAACCAAGCTTACATACAAAAAAAAAAAAAAACAAAAAAAACAGTATAAGACAATGTAAAAGGAACTGGCAGAGGAAGAGTTACATGCTTGTTGCATGAGCAAGGCCTATGTGACTGACAACTATCAAAGGGAACTTGGGGACTTCAGGAAGGACAGGGTGGATCTTATTGTAGTTGAATTGATGGTAGGATTTCCCATAAGCAAAGACAGATGAGGATAGATTGGGTGAGGGACTGGAGGAGGGGAAGGCTGAAGGTACATGAAAGGTATAGAGGTGAAAAAAGTCAAGTTCAAGGTAAGAGGAGAACTGTTTGAAGCGTCTGGACCCAGTGGGTTACCCTACAAAAAGCCACCACTAGAACATAAGATTCAGGAAGGCAGGAACCTGGCCTCTCTTGTGTGCTACTTTATCCCCAGAGTCTAGCACAGTGCCTGGCACACAGTAAATATTGATTGAATGAAAAAAATATATACCACCCTTGGGCTCTTGCACACTGATGTATATTCAAAGCAAGGGGTGGGGATCCAAGTATTTATATTCTAAACCAGTCAAGGCAGATGCATATCTAAATGAAATAGGATATTAATGAGCATGTGCTAAAAGTGGCATAAAGATACTGTATGATTATAATAATAAGTATTTACATTATTTGTCCTCCCCTACTTCCTCCTTGGAATCATAATGAGTAACACCTGGAGCTCAACATCAGTTACTGTGGAAACACTTCCCTCCTCCCTCCCACTGCCAGGCCCCAGGCCCCTGAAGGACTGCTTCTACCCCATGCCCAGGATAGGGTTTTTCAGATTTGCAAGAAGCAGCTCATAAATAGATCAAGAAACCAATTTGATGGCTCATGACCTGTATTTTAAATAATAGCACAAAAATAATAGTGCACCACAGCTAAAGGGTAAATATTTTATAGCAAAAGTTTATTTCTCTTGCGTGTCTGTCTCTATGTGCAGATTCATGTGACTATGTGTATACTGGCTTACAATATCTATTTTTCTCATTGTGGACTGCAATATGAATGTTTCAAAGATATTACTCTAGAGGGTCAAGAAGTTCCAAAATTAGGACACTCCTTTTAATATTCAAGATGAATGACTCCAGTTTTCCTGGCTGAATGTGACTGTCGAAAGGTATTGCTCGCAGCTGGGCACAGTGGGGCACACCTGTAAACTCAGTGGCTCAGGAGTTCTGAGGCAGGAGGATCACAAGTTCAAAGCCAGCCTCAGAAACTTAGCAAGACCCTATCTCAAAATAAAAAATAAAAAGAGCATATGATGTGGCTCAATTGTTAAGTGCCCCTGGGTTCAATACCTGGAATCAAAAAAGAAAAAAAAAAAAGGCATTGCTCTTTGCTCTTGGGCTGGTAAACTTGGACCAGTAACACACCAAGTTTGAAATGAGTTTCTTCATAGCATCCCCAGCTTCACAACACAGAAACAATGGTTTTTTGGGAAAAAAAGATTTATTTTTAGTAATACATACAAAATGCAGGAAACTCAAAAAATACAGAAAAGAAAAAAAAAAAAAAAAGAAAGAAACTCAGATAATCCCACCATCTGTAGATAACCACTTTATTATTTCATTGTTTTGAAATGTTAATTTATTGAGTCAAAGTTAATCTATTGATAGAATTATAAAATATCTCTTATCTATACATGTACACACACTGGAATTATTTTCACAAATATAATGTGATTCTCTGCACACTGTGATGAAAGGTGTTACTTTTCATTTAGCAACAGGTTGTAAACTTTTTATCCATTAAGAAGTACCTTCCCACTGCAATATGACTTTTAATGGCTTTGTAGTACTCCATCCATAGTCTTGCTTTCACTCTCCCTATAAAAGGCACAGCAGCCTTCACCTTGAAGAAAGAAGCTGGCTGGAGAGACACTTAAACGCACAGGGTAAGATGCACAACTCCACAACCTGTGACTTCCTCTCTACTAAATCACAACATGAGACTCAAGAATTATTTTCACTATGCTTTAGAATGACATTACTGACATAGCTATAAGCTCACTGGCTAATTTTTAATTAATAATAGACACGTCCAATGGGATTTAAAAATCACAGTTACTGACAATGTTCCATTATTGATGCATAGCCAAAATGACTCTCACTACGTACTTTCATATATACATCTACTACCTAATTCCACATTAGTTTCTACACATACCTTAATACCCTCAAGGGGTTTCCTGGAGGAAAGGAAATTCTGAGAACCCTGGCACAGCACACAAGTGGAAGGAAGATTAGTTGAGAAAGTAGACCTGGAGTCCTGTCATACCCTTGCTATGGTTTTGGACATACCACTAGATGTCGGTGAGCTTTGGTTTAAATGGAGGGATGAGCTAGAGGGTTCTTAGGTCCCCTTCTGGGTCTAACACACCGTAGTCCAATAAAATAGAACCAGTGGCAATGAGTGAACCTCATATATCTAACATATATCCCCAATCTCAGATTAAAAAGCAAGTTTTAGCCAGGCATGGTGGTGCACGCCTATAATCCCAGTGGCTCAGGAGACTGAAACAGGTGCACCAAAAAGCCAGCCTCAGAAACTTAGTAAGGCCCTAAGCAATTTAGCGAGACCCTGTCTCAAAATAAAAAATAAAAAGGGGTGGTGATGTGGTTCAGTGGTTAAGCACCCTTGGGTTCAATCCCTGGTACCCCCCACAAAAAGAAAGAAAGAAAGAAAGAAAAAGCAAGCTCTAGAACATTTAAGAACCCATCAATTCTCCTAGTGACTCTCTGTGGGGAGAAAGTTGTAGAACCTCAGTAATCTTTGGCTGTGTCCCTCCCACTAAGAAACTTGACAATTTCTGGGTCAACAGGCTGATCTATAGAAACTGCCCTGGTTCCTACTCCCCCGACCCCACGCTCCTCCGAGGTAGGTAAGGAGTGCCAGAGATGGCAAGAGCCACACCAGCAGTTTCACACCTGTCAGCATCAGTCAAGTAATCAGGTCACTAACAGAGAAATCATTTTTTATTATCAAATTATTTCATTTGCCTTTGCTTTCCCAGTGCTTCATCACCTGGACAATTGAGAGTTATGGGCAGTCCACCCTCCCAGCTGCCCCGTCCTTTCAGATATAATATCCCTGTCACACAAATGTTCCCGGGAGTGAACGCTGTATTGTCACGTGGGCTTTTCATCTTCCACTGGTTTTATAACTGGAAAGTGAAAATGAAAAGCAACGCAGTTTATTGAAGAGGTTTTAGGCTTGCTAAATATACACATTTCCTCTGTGATTGGATGTTGAAAATCCATTAATTTCCACAGTCACTCCTCGCCGTGACTGGCATCGATCACATGGGTTGACATAAGCCTCTTTGCTTCTGGAAGGGCAGAATCACATCTGGTTGCCTTTTACTCCATCTCTGTCCATTTCTTCAGGTCTCTTGAAAACTAATTGGAAGAGTCAATAAACACGCCCACCAATTCCTTCACCATCCCGGTAAGCAGATCAGCGTGCCCTTCAACCTGTTCTTGCTGTTTTTCCAAGTATTCCCTTACCTGCCTTTGTCAATTGGCATTCTCGACAAGTTCGTCATAACTTCTCAAAAGTGTCAACTTTCCTCTTTTCATTGCCCTTGTTAAAGATAATTTAAAATTAGAAAGTCACATTCCCAGCCATTTCAGAGTCAATGCTAATTTCATTTTCTTTTGCACAGAAGTCTCTTTACCCTCTAGAGATCCCCTGCCTTCATCCACGGGCCCCCCCGCTCCCCAGCCCCAAACAGGCCTTCTTAATCTCTGTGTACACTACTCCCTTCCCCTGACACCACTCTTATCTTTCCCCCAAATACTTCACCCGGTGAGACACACTTTAGCTGTGGTTCTCCTTCCTTCACTCCACTTCGGAGGGAAATGTCTGTGTCTAGAGATTGTAAAGTCACCTTCAGGAAAGAAGCATACAGTGGGCTGTCAATTAATCAGGACGAGACAGGAAAAATTATATCACGTGCAGCCTGGTGTCTCAGCATCTACATTCACGTTTGGGGGATCAAAAGGATTTCTCCCACACAACCTCAAATTCTTAGTTATACCTTTTGTTTGGTTCTAACTGCTTCCCCAACTAACAGCACCATAGTTAATAGTGTGGAATACACTATTAACATACCTCATTATAGAGTCAAATGTTGCTCTATCATTTTTCCCCTTCTCTGGAAATTTCATCTTTATTCTTTCCAACCTGTCTGTTTATCCTCGGTAGCATTCTTCGCCTATAAATGATTTTATATTCTCTAATTTTTAATCCCACTTGTAGACTGACATATAGATTTTGAGCCTGTTTCTTTCCCCCTGTTAAGCACAGACCCAAATGTCGCCATTCTTGTCACGTGTACAATTCCATCAAGTTTCAGAGTGTCATTTATACACAATTTTATTTCTTCTTACTCCTTTCACACACACCTACCACTTACATACAGCAACTTCACTACATTCATATTTCATAAACTTCATCAGTATTCAGCCAAATCCTCCCCGAAAGTAAGCTAGGTATTTTTAACAGTGCATTGCCTCTTGCGCTGGCTTGAGGATCCAATACCAAGTGGCACATTTTCCTGCACCCCAAATGAGTTCACCTATTACGGTCTGTGCATACATGCAGAAACTCCCTAATTGTTTCAGAAAACTTGAAGATAGTTCATGATGGAAATGCCAACACCCGTTAACATGAAGATATTCAAGGCTAGGGATTGTCAATCCCCTATACCATAATACTTCCTATTCTTTCCCAAGCTTTGATGGAGTTTCAGAGAAAACACACCTGCTGATATAGAAACTCTCCCTGGGACAGCCTGGAGTCCTCTGCCATGTTTTAAGGTACATGAAACCTGAACCCTCAGCATCAATGGGCACTGCACAAGGCTCTCCAACCAGCCAGCAGGGCCCCAGTTCAGTAGATAAGCCAATCACCAAGAACCCACAATGCCATGCCACTGTTAATGTGCCATAGCATGTAATGTGGGAAGACAGTTCACAATGATGACATGTCAGTTAAAGCCATAAAAATCTGTTAGGGGGAAAAAAAAACTGTTCTTCCATGAACACAAGGGAATTGTTACCTGTAATTCCTTTTAGCATCAGTATGTAAGAGCTGAAGCAAAAGCCAGCTCTGCCTGAAAGATAAGCTGTGCTACACCCATTCCTCACCACACCCTATTTCACCCTATTTCTGTAGACAATTTGATGTCTTTGTTCCAACAACAATGACAACAACAACAAATAATAGTCAGTTGTTACTGACTAAAAAGAACACCAAGACTCCCAAGCTGAATTCCCTACACTGTGACATCCAAGATATAAGCACATACTATCCTTAGGTCAAGTGAGACGAGCCCAAGGAAGCCAGCCTCTGACCGTGGTATGGCTCCAAGGATGCTTTCCATGTAGGTGGTGCCAACTGAAGCCCAGGCCTGAACTTGGAAGTAGAGCTTCCTTCTGCACAATCTAAAGGTTCTTTACGACATTCTTAAAGTTCTTCCTTCTAACCTTCGAGCTTTCTAACACTCGGGACTCATGAGCCCCTTTGCCAAAGATACCTCTTTAACCTACCTAAGGAAGAGGTAAAATTAGCTGGCATTTCTGTCCACCATTACATAGAGGGAACATTACATGATGTTATGGTAATATAGTAAATATATAACTTATTGTAAGTGTTAAGAGCCTTCCTGAATATTTAAGAATTATTTTGCATCTCCTATAACTCTAGAGAAAGAATTAAGAAGACTAGATGCTAGATGGAATTTTCCTATATATTGAAAACCTCAATTAACCAGAATCAACTAATGAAATTTCTAATTTGCTGCTTGCAACTTAGAAAACAAGGGAAGCAAATAACAAAACATTCCTGCTGAGGATTTAACAAAAAGAAAAGAAAAAAAGAAAACAATTTTCATGCTGGGATCAAGACAGATTAGTCCAGTCTCTGACACTGTCTCCATTTATAGTTCTGTAATGTACAATCAGAATTCATACTCAGAACAGTGACCCTGTGGCACCATAAGATTCTCAAGCCTCAAGGAAAGATTCAATTATATCCTCAATGTTCTTTCTAGGGTAGGAAAGGGGATCGGTACACTTTAAAAAACATTCAATAAGGAAAAGAGAAAAAAAAAACCATTTCAGATTAATCTACTGTTAGTCAGAAAAAAATCAATTCATCAGTAATGCCTTGGTACCCTTACAGAAAAATCATGGTTTACTGAATATTAATCAACACTTGAATGCTGATTATTTGGGATTTTTAAAGCATTAATTCAAAATGTTACAATTTTATTTTTTAGCAACCTACAAAGATGGGTGAAAAATTTAACAGCTTAATTCCAAAGTAACCCTTTCTATTGTGAATTAGATACAAAAGGTAAATGTAAGAAAGTGATGGGGGGAGAGGAAAAGAGAAAGAGCAGACTATTCCTGAAACCAAGGAATACAATCTCCACATTCAGAAAGGATTGTACATTCTAAGTTAGTGTTTGCTCCAACCACTGAAGGCCTTTCAAAAGGACTTTTTGCTCTGGAGGAATTTATCACTAATCTGGGATCAATGGGTTAGGAGTCTCCATGAGGGAATGGATGATGCTGACCTCAAAGTCCCTGTACATGGTTCATGGAAGACAAAGAGGGTGGGCAGCAGATATCCTATTAGGATATATAATTATAACCCCCCCACACACACACCATACACACACAGGGCAGTTACATGACATCTCTTTTCCCAGATGCCTGAAATGCAATTAGGTGTTTTTGCTTTCTCAGATGCAGAAGTACGTACAAAAACTTAAAATAATAATCATAATTCATCAAGTGGACTAGGAAGATGGAGGGGAAAGGGAAAGTACTCTCAAAAAAAGTAGCCCAGAGAGTTCACACCACACCAAGAGAATTTTCAATAACACCCAACTCAATCTGTCCTGCTAACATTACACTACAAGTTCCTACAGGGGGGGAAAACAACCACAACAAGGAATCTGGAGAAAAAGTACATCTTAACTCAGAAGTGACAAGAAGATTGGCCAAGGGCTGGTCTTACTGGCATTCCAAAGATCAGGTCCATAGAGTATTCAGTTTGCTTCCAAAGAGATTCAGCTGTCATCAAACTCCTCAGACCACTGTCATCACAAGGCCTGGCTATCACGGTTCCCATTCTCAGGCCTCCTTGTGTCCCACTTCAGGAGTCTATGTGGAACGAGGGGCCATGTGCTGTGTGCTCCCACCTCTGCTGCCCCAAACACACAAGCAGAAGGGTCTCATTCTGAGGGGGCATCAGTGCAGGCTTCATCCAAGCTTCAGTTTCAGAAACAGAGACATTTTCTAAAGTCAAGGGCTCCACATCATGCCTGTAGGTTTTGGAAAATTCCAGCAGGTGACTAACATAAAAAGAGTCTGCTATAAATGTTTTAGCCACTCAAGACTTGAATTCTAGATTAATAATTCAATTCTTTTTTTAAGAAAGAAGGGGGGGGAGCAACAGAAAAGGTTATCATAACTATCATGAAATGCATTTTCTAAAATTATTCTATTACATTTTTAAAGCGTATAATTATAAATGTTTTTATGAGCAATTTACCGGAAAATTAAAGTCCCTCGGTTTAAGAAATAATCACTTCGTCCCTGTGGCAAAGGATTTCCTCCCAGTCAGGAGCACTTTCAAACTATAGGGCTTCATTTATTCACTGTAGAGAAGTCAGATTCATGCCGGAAAAGTTGATCTGAGAATCCATCTCTAGAAAGGGTGCTAACTTGCTAAGGGAGAGAACCTACTAGAAAGTGATTCACCTGAGATTAAAGGGAAGAGAGGAGGGGACATACTTTCACAGTCAAAGAGTTTTGTGGTTCTAGAAGTCCTCAGGGCTACAAATAAATTGTAGGCCCTGTTAACTGATTTTAAGTCAATCTAAGCCAATCTTCCAGGGGTTCGATCTCAACCCAACCGAGCTTTTTTTTCAATGTTAATCCCATCTTTTGGCTTCGATTTTTCCCTTAGGTCAGCTTGCTCTAAAAGCCTTCAACCTTCTGCACTGGTGTTGCAAACCCAGTGCATGGAATCCAGCCCTGTGAGGATAACTTTACTGAAGTAAAATATGTAAGCTTCCGGCATGCATATAATAACGAGATTCTGAAAAAGGGTTTTTTAACAACAGTTATGTCACAACGCTCATGGCTCCCTGAAGTCTCTGAAAGCCTTGTTAAATTAAAGATTCGCTGTGGTTTTTTTCCGCTTCATTCTTACTTCCCATGTTGCCTCTTGCCTGTCTTTTTTTTCTGGTTTTCATTGTGCTGTAAAGATGGGACTGAATGACACCAGCCATCATTAATACCACCTAGAAAACGGAAGAGTTTCATTAAAACTGCTAAGGTTCCCTGCAGTTGTAAGGATGGGGGGGAGGTCATCTTTCAGATTATAAAGTCACACATCTGATTTTGGAAGCTCAGGTGCTAAAGGTACACAGCCCATTCACACTTGAATTCCCAGGAGGTAGGAATTCAGCAATAGCCTCAAGTCTATCTAGGTAATGTCTCATGAGGTCACCTCAATGTCATGAGAATCCAGACCACATTCTCTGTGGACTTCAAACACTCACTGGCTAGAGGCTAACCGCTATCTTTTTGGGCAGCATCTCCCAAGTCAGAAAGCTTCTCATTTTCCCCAATGCAAAGAACTCCACTCAACCCTCCTTAAGGTTGAAAATGCTAATTATAAGGTGATGATGTTTGCTTTTCCTTTGAGTCGTGTGCCTTTATGTTTTAAGTATTTAAGAGGCGTAATCACCTAGTGTGTAGGTTAATTTCTTTCCGATATTGTAATTTATGCAACATTAATACTGGATGCCAGCTCCAATTTTCTTACTGCTTACACTCTGGAAGCAGACTTGCATATTCTGCCAACTCCATTACATCATCTGAAAACCCAAACATTTCCCATTTTCAAATCACTCTCAACTACCAGGCATACTTACACATTCTCTCTTTTTCTCCCAGCTCACACACAAAGATTGGTACCCCTGAGGAGCAGACGCTACATCTGAGGTTAAAGTCTGCAAATGCACATAATTTCTGGAAGCTATTACTACTGCTGTGTTAGCTAAAGGATGCCTCCATCTCTGACCTTCCTTTTTCCATTCAGACTGTTATATAACCTAGTGCCTGCGTGCAGGATGTGAGTTGAGTGTTTGGGCCTTACCTCCCCCCTCCCACTAAATCTCCTAAGAGCCATGGCCAGGGATGGACAGAATGGGGGGGGGGCTCTAAGAGGAAAGGGGATATAGGTCAGCAGGTCAGCTGCATAAGATGCATCCTACTCCTAGTTTATCCCTCTCCCCTTTGTGCTGAGCCTAGGTGGTATTGAATGCCCCGGCGTTATATAATTTGCAAGAACAGCAAGTTACGGATTTGCTAGTCGGTTCTGCAGCTTGCCACCCCTATCTCTTGCAAGAACACCTTCTGGCAAGAATGACACCTGAAGATGCTAATAACATACCGGAGGGGGGAGGGGCTGAAAAGGGGGGGGTGATAACACAAACCAGAAATTAGTGCCGCTTCCTATATACTATGCTCCCCCTTCTTAAAAAGAAAGAGAGGAAAAAAAGCCTCAGAAACACATGAAGGGGATTTTCTCCAGTGTTTCTGATTAACCCTGTTACATAACCCGCTCGCATTCCAAATCCACCGTCTCAGGGTCTAAATATACTCTTTGCAGCCAAAAGCTCTCCGCACACAAACTCACCGATCTAGCTGCAGGTCCGGCCCACAGCCCTCATCCCCTTTCCTTTCGCCCCAGCCTTACTGCCCCCCTCTAGCTCAAACCGCAGTTCGGCGTGGTCACTCTTCAGAAATCGCCTTTAATTAAATGTTTTTCGCGTGTGTCATCCTGATGGCTTTTACTGTACTCGAATTCCGTGAATGGGAAAGCGCCCGGACAGGGGGTGTGGCTAAGGGGGGGGAAACTGTAAAACAGCCAGCACATGATCAGCCATATTCCTACCTCCAACTCTAACATCGAAGAGGAAGGGAGCGGCTCCCAGGGCCGGGTTCGCCTTTCCCCAGCCCTCCCCATTCACCGCCTGAAGCCCAGTGGCTAGAGGAGGGGGCGCGCTGGGCTGGTGCCCAAGCCGGGGTTGGAGAGATCCTCTCTGTCCCCAACCCCGGGCAGCTCCCGCTAGCCCGCTTCCTCCGGAGTGACAGGCGTGATTTATACATTATTTACAACAGTAATTAAAGCCGTAGCTTCCTCCTGCTCTTTGAAAACTCCAGGCGCATTCAAATAAATAATCCCCCATACCCGAGGGGGGTAAGAAAAAAATCCCACATCAGGTTCAAACACCTTTAAGAAAGAGAGAGAGAGTAAGCTTTGCTCAACAACCTACTTTAACTAGGAAAACGCCAGGAGGGACATCGGAGCCCGCCCCCCAGCCCCCATACACACTCCAAACACCAAAATGAAGTGTACAAATCTCCCAAAGAGGGGAAAAATCGCTCTCACTACCCAACCAGCATTCAACTTGCACTGACCAGCCCCAGGTTATTGAAGAAACACTAGGAATCTCAGAAAGGGAAGGATTCCCAAGGCAGAAATAAGTTTGGGTGCCTATCGAGCTTTCTTGCTCTGCTTGTTTTCTTTGTAGCGGCTGACTCCGACTGCGCGTGGAGTGCCCCACCGGACCGCCGCCCTAGGTGCGCTGGCGCGCACACGCCCCCGCCAGCCGGGGCGCCGGGCTCCGAACCCGGGTCTGAAAACTTGCGCATCTCCCCTCGCCGCTCCCGCAACACAACTTGGCTAGCACCTCGCGCGCCCGCACCCTGTTTCTTCTGGCCTTTCCTCCAAAGCCCAAATCCATCGCCGTACTCCAAGAGAGGGTGCCCGCGTCGCCCCCAGACCCCGGAGCGCCCCCTCTCCATAACCCCCGGGGCTTCCCCGGTTACTCACTCCTCCCACCCCCCAAGCTCTGCGGGGGACCAAAAACACACCCCCGACTCCAGCAGCTGGGGCCGAAACTGTCAAAAGGGGAAAAGGTAAAGGAGGAGGAGGGTGGCCATAAGCAGATATATTTTTTTTCCTTCTTAAAAGGACACTGCCGCTTTAAAAGTTTCTTTCCCGGGCCCCCACTCCTTGATTCTCCGTATTTTGGGGAGCGTATTTCATTTCGGCAACGCGGCTTTCCTCCTGTCTTTGCAGAAAAATCAAAGCCAGGGGTTGGGTCCGCCGGCTGTCAACCCTCCCGCCGCCTCCCCCGCCCCCCTCTCC